ATCAGTTAAATATATCGTGATAATTAAATAATTTCATTTGACATTTTCTTTTAATTTTTTTTAATGACATGACAATTATATATATATATTATATTTATAGTATATAGATAATAAAAATGTCACAAAAATAAATATTTATATTTTAATTAAAAAATAAAATTACATTGCTACCCTCATCTCCTAATCCCTCTTCTTCCCCTTCTTTCTTTCTCTTTTCTTCTTCCCTACCCAGATCCCTCTTTTTCCCCTTCTTTCTTTCTCTTTCTTTCTTTCTTACCCAGATCGGCTGGGTTCTGATGAGCTGGGTGGCTGGGTTCTGATGAGCTGGGTAGCTGGGTTCGATGAAACCCAGATCTACTGGGTTCCGTCGAACCCAGCTTTGCTGGTCGCCCGAAGCCAGCCTTGCTGGGTTCGTCGAAACCCAGCTGCTGGGTTTCGTGTGACCAGCAAGGCTGGGTTTCAATGAACCGAGCCTTGGTGGTGGTTTCAACGAACCAAGCCTTGGTGGTGGTTGCGCGAACCGAGCCTTGGTGGTGGTTGCGCAAACCCAACCTTGGTGGTGGTTGCGCGAACCGAGCCTTGGTGGTGGTTGCGCGAACCGAGCCTTGGTGGTGGTTGCGCGAACCCAGCCTTGGTGGTGGTTGCGCGAACCCAGCCATGCTGGTGGTTGCACTGACCCAGCCTTGTTGGGTTCGTCGAAACCTAGCTGCTGGGTTCGCGCGACCAACAAGGCTGGGTTTCAACCAACCCGGCCATGCTGGTCGCGTTTGCTGGTTTCATTCGACACTAGGTACATGTTTTTTCATTCTTGTTTTGATTTTCATTTTCGGTTCTTGATAAATTTGAGAGTTGATTTACAATTTGATTGCATTTTTGTTGGAATTGGATTAGAGTTTGATTGCATTTGTTTATTGAAGGGTTAATTTGATTTGGTTAGATCTATTGGCTTGATGAACTCAGTGGGTTTAATGAAACTAGTAACTGGGTTCGATGATAAAGAACTCAAATTTTGCTCTGGAGCATTCTAGGGTTCATAGTTTTTTTGCAGGTTTTAGTGAGTTTGATTTGTGAGAATATGAACTCTCAACGTCATAGCATTTAACCTTTTATGGGTCCACCAGCAGCTGGGTTTCGACGAACTCAACCATCTGGGTAGGAAAGAAAGAAAGAGAAAGAAAGAAGGAGAAGAAGAGGGATTAAGAGAGGAGGGTAATAATGTAATTTTGTTTTTTAATTAAAATATAAATATTTATCTATGTGACATTTTTATTTATCTATATACTATAAATATAATATATATAATTGTCATGTCATCAAAAAAAATTAAAAGAAAATGTCAAATGAAATTATTTAATTATCACGGCATA